ATTAAATGTGTTTATAAGATGTGAGTTCTGATATTGAATGATTGGTGGGGTCATGTGTTATGTGATGGCTAGGAAATAGAGGTTTTATGTGAGGTAGAACCTGCTATTTCCTAGGGGGAGTCTGAAAAAAGAGGTTTTATGCGAGTTAGAACTTGTCGTTTTCCAGGAACTCTGGCAGGAAATACCCTATTTCATATACGAAGTTATCTTTCTATTTCATATATTTGCACAAAATAATAGTCAACTATTTTAAGTTTCAAAATAGATACTTTTTATAAATCTCACACAGTTTATCCCGTATGACTTTTGAAATGTAGAAGAATAGAAAGTACTCGTAAAGAACTTGAGAAANTTTGTTTTGTAATATACGTGAAAAAAAAATTGAGAAAATTAAATTTCGTTTAAAAACAAATGTAAAAGTAGATAAAAAAACATTTTATCAGTTTTATTTGTTTGTACATAAAAGAAATAGTAAAAACTAATTTCAACAAAGAGAATTAGCATATATGACTATGAAAAAAAAACATATTTAATAATCTAACCAAAAAAGCACCTATGTGGCAAATTCCTAATCACTAAATTGAAAGTTCTTAGTTAGATTATTAGGTAACATTTCTTTTTTTTGGTTATACAACCAACGGACCCTTCTTTCAATAATGTGTTCTTCTATCATTTTATTAATTTTTTAGAAATTTAATAAGGGCCCAAAAGCATGTCACTTTTGCCAATTACGCATTTTAAAACAATTGCATACTCCTTGCTCGACGTGAATATCTTTTGTTTTTTATTTAAATGCAACGCATACATAAAGTTTGAAACAAAGGAGTATATTAATGCATTCTTAGTCTCAAGAGTATTGTGCAAAGTAAAAAGGCCCGCAGATTATTCAAAGAAGATCAAGTCTCCCTCAATTGTTAATCAACTTACCAAAGTGGACTTCAAGAAGAGCTAAGTTGGAATTCAAGAAGAAGAATGAATACGAATTAAGAAAGTGGCCGGCAAAAAAAAAAGAATGAATAAGAAAGTGACTCATTGTTTCACGTCAGAAGCAAAGTCTCGTGGACTTTTGTAAGCATGTGATTGGCTGGTTAGTAACACAAGAGGAAGTAGCTCTCGGTCAGACCAAAATTGTAACGCCCGTGAATCAAAAAGTAAATTTTTGGTTGGTGCGTCGATCGATACAAGGTGTGTATGTCAATCAACACGCGTGTTTTTGACTTGTTAGAAGTCGTGTTTTGGGCGTTGCGTCGATCGACACATAGGGTGTGTGTCGATCGACACAGGCTGAAATTGGACCGATGGGTTTGGTTCCAATTGCTCGGTTTGGCAGGCTGGTTTAGGGAAGCCCTAGACCTTCGGTATAAAAGGGGATAGCCGCGTTTCTGGTCGTCTCTTCAGTTTCCAAAAAGTTCCAAAAAGTTTCCAGAGAGTTTGAGAGAGAATTTGTAAGAAAAGGAAGAATCATTGTTGATTTTTTCAAGTTCTTGATCCTAATAGTTTGTTAGTGTGATTGTGAGTATCTGGAGATCGTTTCTGAGAGGGTAGATCGCGATTGGGAGAGGATTCGGAGTGGAGATTCCGTGTTTTTCGCGTTCTTCGTCGTTTTCTTCCTTTTTCTTTACCAGAACCAAGGTGAGTCGTGACTATAGCTTATCTGGGTAAAGGAATTAATAGAATATGTTTGCTTGTTGTTGGTTTGGTTGGATTTCGTGTGTTTTGTTGGTGGATTCGTGCAGGAGATCAATGGATCGCGTTAGGGATCGAGCCATGAGAGGATAGGCTCGATCCTTGT